GGGGGGGACTGGCCCAGCTCGGGTCGCGTTTCCCCGGGCGCCCCGGAAAAACTCCCTCAGGAGGCCGGGCTGGCTGCTGCTGCCAGTCCGTGCAGGCCCTGGCAGCCCTGGGGCTGGGCCTGGGCCTGGGCCTGGGCCTCCTCAGTTCCGGTGCTCAGGTGGGGGGCCGTGGCCCAGAGCACGCGGAAGGGCCGGGTTTGATCGCCAAGCATTGCCCGGCAGGGCTGGGAACCTCCGTGAGCCGCCGCCGCCGCCAACCGGTGCCATGCTGGGAAGGCGGACGGCACATGTCAGCGACCGTGAGGAGCCGCTCCACGCAGCTTCCAGCTTGGCGTTGCAGCTCCGCTTGACACATCAGGCGCACAAACATCTGCTTACACTCGAGTGCAGGAAGCTGGCTTGGGTCCACTCGGCATGAACCACTGTGAACTGGAGGCCGCGGCCCCTGGTTGCAGGGCACGCTCCGCACCAGCTCCCGGATGCAGCGGCTGTTGGGCAGGACCCTCGGCCCGTGAGTCTGCCGCCTCGTGCGGCTCTTGCCTGGGCCAGGGCAAGTGGGGGGACAAGCTGGTTGCCACAGCGGAGATGAGGGGCCAGTCGCCCAGGGAATGTGGCTTGCAGATCTAGGAAGGTGTCCATAGGTGCTGCAGGTCCAGGATGGGGACAGGTGGCTGGAGAGCGGCACTCGTGAAAGGGACCTCGGGGTTCCTGTCGACAGCAGGCGGAACATGAGCCAGCCGTGTGATGCGGTGGCCAAGAGGGCGAACGCCACCCTTGGCCGCATAGCCAGAAGTGTGGCTTCCGGATCTGGGAAGGTGTTGCTACCACTCTGCACAACTCTGGTGCACACACGACTGGAGTGCTGTGTCCAGTTCTGGGCTCCACACTGTAGGAGAGACAGCTCGGCTAGGATCGGTTCCGCGCGGAGCCGCAAGGAGGGTGGCGGGGTGCGGGGGATGCCACGTGAGGGGAGACCGAGGGAGCTGGGTCTTGGCCGCCTGGAGGAGAGGCGACTGGGGGAACTTTTAGCGACATGCAGGTATGTGAGGGGGGTCGCACAGAAGGGGGTCATGCCTGTTCTCCCCTGCAGTGGAGGGAAGGACGCGATCCAGTGGGGCAAAGCTCAAGGGACTGGGTTTCAGGGTGGATGTCAGGAAGTACTTCTGGACGGCCAGGACCCCTCGGATATGGAAGGGGCTTCCACGGGAAGCCACTCTGGGATTCAGCTTTGCTCACAAGCCGCCCTGCAGAAGCAGCCCTAGGAAAATCTGCAGGCAGCCTCTAGGTGCCAGTTCCTCATCAGGAATGCGAAAGACGGCTCTGCTCGGATTCTTGCCTGTCTTTGGGAGAATGCCAGTGACTTACCCAGATTTTCACACTGACGCTTCACAGGTGTCCTAGCTTTTGCAGGCTGAGCAGATCTCTCTGGGAACTACAGACGTTAAAGTCTGGTGGCCCCTCAAAAGTCCAGTGGCAATGTTTTGCAAACTTTGCATTTTGTGCCGTCCCCCACAATAGGACGTGATCATTGTGGGGTCTGCTGGGCACCCCAAACCAGCGTTGCATCTCAAAATCTAGGCCAAGCTGCTGCATGACTTCCGCGCCACAGGCTGGACATCTTGTGCTGCTCCTGCCAAGTGTATAAGCACACGCCCTTTAGCACGGTTGGCCAAATGGCCGTCACGGTTCACAGCTTGCTTCCTGGGAGATTTGGATGACGCAGGAACCGACGTGTCATGATCAGGCATGTGGCACTTGGGGTGGGAAGGGGACAAGAAGCTGCAGTGGGTTCCCTGCTCCCTGATGGTGTGAACCTGGTCCTTCTCGGGGTTCTAGTGACACCCCCAGAATCCAATTCTGAACCCAGGGTGGACAAGCCCCTTTTCTGCGTGTGTCTGTTGGAGGGAGAGAGACGCACTCCGGTCACTGCACAGACGCCGCTTTCTGGAGACCGCGGAGCACGAGTGCAGCCTGGTGGAGCGGCCGCTCTCGCTTCTTGTGCTGCCAGGATGTTAGTGAGGCCGTTTCCCTGCAGTTCCAGCGCACCATTTTCTGTCTCTTGTTCCCGGCAGATAGGAGAGAAGGGCCCTTGTGCGCTACTTTGATCAGCTCTTCATAGACAGAGCAATGTTGACCAAGCCTTTTGAATCAAGTTGCATATCATCTGTTGCTGTGATTCAAGTTGGCAGCTGGAATATTGACATCAATGTAGGATCGTTTTATCCGCTAGAGTGTTTTTCGTTTCCTGCTCCTTTGTTTTCAACATCGCTTTGCTGGTTTGGATTACGTCTTTGCAGTTCCTAAGCTGCCTTGAACATTGTATTATTTTGTTGCTGTGGCCGGGTAGAAATAAGCGAAATGAAAGCAGCCTGCCCCATGGAAGACTGAAGGGGCAGCCACAGGCTCACAACTGGGGGAGGGAGAGAAACCAGTCTGGGACGAAGCTAAGCTGCAGGGCCTTTCTGGGTGGTGGGAATAGGCTGCAGGCTTGGGCTTTCCTAACTAGTGCCTTTACAGGAAACATGCTTTCAAGTAGCAAGGCTATAAATATGCAGATATTTATTTCCAAGGGGCTTTCTCCCACTCCTTTTAAACCCCCTCCCCCCATTTAAAGCCTGCGAGTTTTCTTCTGGCACTCAGGCGGTTATGAAGTGTCCTGCATGGGAAATGTGTAATTTTTATCCTAGGAAGCTTAACAAATGGTTCTTCACAAATGGCATTTTAATAAGTTTCGGGCAAGCTCTCCTTCCTCCTTTTCGGAAAGCAAGGGAGCTTTGCTGACTTAGATGGTGAGGAAGAAACACTATTCCTGCAGATCAACACAACAGAGGGAGAGTGGTGTGGAATTCAAGTTGTTCTCTTAACCTGCCACCTTCCTGGAGAATCCGGGGCTTGAGGCCGTCTGCTTATTTCTTAGATTTCCACCCCGCCCGCTCAGCCAGAGAGTCTCTCTGCCCAGAGCAGCATTAATTACGTCTGCCTGTCCAGCATGGCATGGCTGCCAAAGGCAAACACATCTAAGGAAGAACCCTATTATTGCCCGTACTTTCATACCCTACCCTTTCCTTCTTGCCAGCAACTCAACCTGGCCCTTGTAGTCCATTTCACTCTCACAACAGCCACCCTGCGAGGCAGGCTGGGCCGAGAGTGAGTGACTGACCCAAAGTCACGCAGTCAGCCTCGTGCCTGACTGGAGACCAGCACCCGCATCTCCCGAGCCACCGTGCCGTGCTCTGTGTGTGTAGCCAGAAAAGGGCCCCGGGCTGCGCCAGTTTCGCCCCATGTGGCGTCCTCCAACTTCGGAAGCAAATCCATCCTGGCCCAGCCAGCATCGCCAAGGGCTGGGGATGCTGGGAGTCCGTACTCCAGCAGTGCCGGAGGGCACTGGGCTGGGGAAGGGTGTCGGTGCCTGCACAGGGAAGTCTTTGGGCTCTGAAGAGCAGCGAGGCCTGTTCATGTGTCCTGCAAGGCAGCAGTGCGCCCTGAGCCCCGTGCGCCAGTGCGTACAGTTCCCAATATGGTTGAAGTTTCTTCTGCTTCTCACAGGCGATTAACTTCTGTAAAGTTTCCAAATAATGCTTACAGCACTTCGCTTCTAGCTTGCAAACAAAAGCACCAGCAAATTTTATCTTAATGCACTCGCTGACAGTAGCAAAACTTTAGGAGAGACAGACTCACCTTTTTGAATGAGGAGGACTGTGGAAAACGCAGGAAAACACCAACGCACCCGTGTCTGGGCAAAGGGGGACCGGCTTGGGGGAAGGGGGGGTGGCCACCTGCGAGGCGAGCCTCTGATCTGAGCCTCTGGACCTGAGCCTCTGCACCCCTGTGGTTGGAGGGCAGAACTGGCTTACCTGATCCCCAGGTGCTTCTCACTTCCTCCTTGGCTCTGCCAAGAGGCCCACCTGAGGTCGTGCTGCGAAGTGCTGTGCTCAGCGGGCTTCGGAGTGCTTGTGAGCATCTCATAGAAACATAGAAAGAGTGAGTCGGAAGAGGCCTCCTGGGCCATCTAGTCTGACCCCCGGCTCCAGCCGGCTCCACTCACGACATGCCTGTGACATCTCAATGGCATCTTGCTGAAAGGTTCCACTGATAATTTACATTGTCCTTTGAAAAGCAGCTAAAGGCTCAATCTTAGGATGACACCTTCTCAGACTGGAGGGAGGCAACTGGTGGCTGCCGCAGGCGCCGTCCTGGGCCCAGGGCTCCTCAGCACCGTTCTGAATGGCTTGGATGCGGAAGTGCAAGGAAAGAGAATCAGATCTGCAGTCAGTCCAAAACTGGGTGGAACTGTGAACACCCCGGAAGGCAGAAGGAAGATCCAGGGTGATCCTGGTACACCTGAATGCTGGGCTGAAAGCTCCAGAATGAGATTCGGGAGGGACAAGTGCCACGTCCTCCAGCGAGGAAAGAGAAGCCAACGGCATCGATACACGACGGGGAACCCGTGGTCAACGGAACCGAAAAAGGGAAAGGCCTTGGCATGATGGTGGACAGCAGGCTAAATAGGAGCCACCGATGCGATGCGGCCACAAAAACGGGCAAACACTGTTTTGTTTAACAGAAGTATTACTCCAAATTAAATGAAGTTCCCCTATACTTCTCACTAGTCTGGGCACCAAGATTGAAGAAAGGTGCAAACAAAATTAGAAAGGGTCCAGAGGAGGGCAACAAAAATGATCCAGGGTTTGGAAACTCTGCCCAATGAGGAGAGACTGAGAGAACTGGGCATGTTCAGCCTGGAGAAGAGACGATCCCTCCATAAGCATCTCAACGGCTGTCACCAAGAGGAAGGCCAAGATCTCTTTTTGCTGATGCCAGAGCACAGGACACAGAATAATCAAGTCAAGCTGCGACAACCCAGATTCA